ATCTTTTTTGCTGACCCTGTACTTTACCAAGCATGACATTCTTCTCCAGGGATTGATCCCTCCTGACAACATGTCCAAAGTAAGTCAGATGTAGTCATACGATCCTTGCTTCTAAGGAGCATTCTGGTTCTACTTCTTCCAAAACAACCTGTAACTATAGGGTCACTATAAGTCGGAATTGGCTCAACGGCAACAGGTTTGGGTTTTTTTTTTTTGGTTACTGATACAGGTAAAATATACTAGAAATACAACCAGAATGCTCCTTAGAAGTGAGGATGGAGAGACTTCGGGTAGCCTGCTTTAGATACAGCATTAGGAAAGATGAACTGCGAGAAAAGAACAGCATTTGTAATGTAGAGGTTCAGCAAAAAGGAAGGAAACCCTCAAGGAAATGGATTGACACAATTTGTACAGTGGTAAGTGCTCCAAGAGGTTCAATTCTGATCACTCCCCTCCTCTTTGAAACTCTTTCTCCACTTGGCATCTGAGAAAGTAGCACTCTCTTCTTCCTCCTAGCTCACCAGCTGCTCCTTGTCAGGCATTTGTATTAGATTTGCTTTACCTTTAAGATTCTATAAGTAGGCCCAAAGGAGCCCTGGTGGTGCAATGGATAAGCGCTCAGTTGCCAACTGAAAGGTCAGCAGTTCAAACTTACCCAGTGGCTACATGAGAGAAAGACCTGGTGATCTGCTTCTGTAAAGATTAACCAAAAATCCACTGCCGTCGAGTCGATTTTAACTCTATAGGACAGAGTAGAACTGCCCCCAGCGGGTTTCCAAGGAGCGGCTGGTGGATTCGAACTGCCAAGTTTTTGGTTAGCAGCCAAATGCTTAACCACTGCACCACTCTGTGAGGTAGTTCTACAATTTCACATGAGGTGGTTATGAATTGAGAATTGGCTCAACAGCACCTAACAACAACGAAGTGTGCCACAAGTATATACATGAACACACACAGATATGCTCTAAATGAATTCAATAGTAAAACCTCCACAATAAGTTGTCAAATAGGACGCAACGGATGATACTGTTGCAAGCAGTTTGTTATCAACTAGGACGCAAACCGAGTTTGCATCTTTTGGTCTGCCCTTTCTCTGCGTGTCCTAGTTGACTTCCAGTAAGCATTCCAGATTGTAAATTCTACAACACACCAAGGAAGCTTCAGTAGGGCCAGATCTCAGAATAAACTGCCTGCCTTAAAACTAAAATAGCAGAAATACACAAACTAGTGGTATTTAGGCTGAACGTATTTATATTTTTACAGTTATGTGAGGGAAAAAAAAATCGGAGTTTGCCTGTGGGCTGGGGCTGGGGGCTGCTTTTTTAACAGACCAAATAAGATTCAGCCCACGTGTTCTGGAAAATAATGTTGGAGACAGAAAAAGGTGAAGATAATCGTCTTTGACACGACTCTTCTGCACTAGTGACCGTCTGCCCACCTATTATGCATGAAAGGATCTAGGTAGGCATCCCGTTTTAAAACTTCCGTGACAAGGAACCCCGATTGCCCTCAGTATTAGAAAGGGAGCAAGAGAGGCAGAGCTAAGCTGCTAAGAGACAACCCCTCAGAGACCTCCCCGAGAGGGGTGTCACAGGCACATGGAGCTTGCGGGGTTCTCATCAGGGGGTCTTGAGCAACTTCCTGTCAAAGTCCTCTCCCAACAAGGCTGCTGTTGTTGCTCCCTGCTATCAAGCGGGCTCCTGCCTCATGGCGAACCCATGCACAACGCAACGAAACACTGCCTGGTCCTGCACCATCACCACGATCTGTTGTGAAAAAGACTGTTGTGACCCACAGGGTTTTCACTGGCTGATTTTCAGAGGTAGATGGCCAGGTCTTTCTTCCTAGTCCATCTTAGCCTGGAAGCTCTGCTGAAACCTGCTCGTCAACATATCAACACGCAAGCCTCCACGGACAGACGGGTGGTGGTTGCACATGAGGTGCACTGGCTGGGTATCGAACCGAGGTCTCCCGTATGGGAGGCAAGAGTTCTACTCCTGGACCACCACTGACCCTCATCCTCAAAAGGAAGCAGAAAAAGCAAATGGGATGAGATGCAAAAAAACAGAGAGGAAAGCAAATTGTAGAAACTGAAAATGTGAACATGCCAAAGTCAACCAAAACATACCCACAGCCTCGTAAGTGAGGATAGGAATTCTTACTCAGAGATATGCAAATGAAGCAAAATCCCCCAAACCGACCTCTTATATCCCTGGCTCGCCCAGGGTTTGGCCCTAAAAGCCACGGAAGACCCCCAGGTGACCCTTCGGTGTTGACCGCCATCACTTGTCCCGCACATAATAGATTTTTTCCCTGAATGCCTGCTTTTCCCTCCTGCTTCTATGTGTCCCTGCCTCTGCTGACCAACCACACGCCATTTATTTACACGTTCGGCTTTGTCCTCAAGCTGGGTTCCGACTTTAGTTACAAACCACGTTGATGAAATAATGTTCACATTTCGCCATTAGGCTGACCAAAATTTAATCACTGAGAGCACGTGATTTTCAAGATGCTCAAAACCTATCATTTGAACATCACTCTGTGTGGTGCCGTTCAGCCAAGGATACTGCAGTCTTCTGAAAATGTCTCTGGCAAGTATTATTATTTCTCCTTTATAGTTAAAGAGACAGACACAGAGAGGGCTGGGTGATTTGCTCAAAGTTAGAGTGAGAGCCACGGGCAGTGACGAGCATACAACTCATGTTACTCTCGTCCAGCCATATGTGTCTTCTGTTGGGCTTTGTTTCTCTGGAAGCATCCAGTCCTTCTCCAACATCTCTCCATTTTGGGAATACGCATCGCCACGCATAAAGTTGAAAAAGGTGGAAAAGGAAATATTATCTTTTACCTTTTTCTTCTGAAATTATTCCTCTTTCTCTACACTCATACCCAATGCCTTTATCCCCAATCCATCAAGGTACAACAAACATACATTAATCTGTCCATTCCATAAATGCTCGTTATGTACCCGCTGGTAGCTGCGGGCAGTGTGCTATGGATTGAACTGTGTCAATAATATGTGTTAGAATCCTAAATCCTGTATGTGTTGGAATATGTGTTAATAATAATCATCTGTTGCCGTCAAGTCAATTTCGACTCATGGTAACCCCGTGTGCTACAGAGTAGAACTGCTCCATAGGGTTTTCTTGGCTGTAATCTTTACAAAAGCTGATCACTAGGCCTAGAAAATCCTATGAGGCAGTTCTATACTGTCACATGGGTCACTATGAGTTGAAAATTGACTCGATGGCACCTAGCAATAACAAAGCGGGCCATAGGTACAAACGCTGCTGGGTGGGTTCGAACCACCAACCTTTACGTCAGTAGTCAAGCATAAACCATTTGTGCCACCCAGCAGCCTGTCAGTAATAATAACTGTGTCAATAATATGTGCTGGAATCCTAACCCCTGCGCCTGTGGATTATGAGGTATTATGAGGTATTATGAGGTAGTCATCTTCCATAATGTAATCTAATGTTATGTTAATGAGGCCTTAACTGGTGTAGAGCATCCTAAACCACTCACTTTTCAGTAATAAAAAGAGCAGATTAGACCCAGGGGCAAGCACAAAGGGGACAAGAGAGATGTCACTGAGGGATCGAGGAATGCGGGGGTTACAGCAGCTGAAAGAGACAAGAATCTTCCCTCAGAACCGACGGACAGAGAGCCTTCCCCTAGACCAACGCCTTGGATTCGGACTTCTAGCCTCCTGAACTGTGTGAAAAGAAATTCCTCTTCTTGAAATCCACCCACTTGTGGTATTTCTGTTACAGCAGCACTAGAAGGCTAAGCCTATATAAAGGAAGGATGATTTTTAAAACTCATGGTTCTCATCTTCAAGGACTTAATCATTTAATTGAAGAAGAAATAACAAATTAAAAAAACAAACACAGACATCAAATGAAAACAGCAACAGCATAAAACAGAACCTAAAGGTACAACTCCAAGCAGATGAGTGGACTGGAAAAAATGCACGAGTTTCAAGGACAAGGTCACCAATGATGGCTATTCTTCTCAGCAAAGTTTTCACAAAAGGGGGGTTGTTGGTGTTGGGGCTTAAAGGATGGGAAGAATTTGGATATACAGCGCTTAACCACTGCATCACCAAGGCTCCTTTATTTAAAAAGAAACAGGGAAAAAATATAGAGTGTTGTAGTAGATCAGTTGGAAAACTGTCCTCAGTTCTTCACGTTTCCTTGTAGCTGCGATTTGCAATATGATTTTGCAGCTCTTATCATTTAGAGTGGAGTCTATTCCCCACCCCAGGATCTGGGCTGGCCTTGGGCTTGTTTGGGCAGTACAGTGGAAAAGAGGGTAGCAGTTTTGAGTCCAGGCTTCAAGAGCCCTTGAGTGCTTCTTTCTCTCTTGGAACCCTGACACCACCATGTAATCACCTGTTGGATGGGGGTAGACATGTGGCCAGCCAACCCACTGTCCCAGCCAGCAGGCATGTGCGTGTGGCCATCCTAGATCATCAAGTCCTGAGATCCTTCCCCCTCCAGATCTCAGCTCCAATGCCACCTTGTCCAGGAAGCCCTCCCTGACTTCTCCACATAACGCTAGTAGACCTCCGCGTACCGTTCCTTCTTGGCCCTTCTTCTAGTTGCAGTTATTTTATATTTACTGGTGTGACTGAGTAACTTCTGTTTCCTGCACTAGAATCTAAGTACCCTAAGAACAGAGGTCTGTTGTCTGCCCCCAGTATAGTCTTAAAACCTAGCTCACAGTACTCAGTAATATCTGTCAGCTGATCACAGACCCATGAGTAAGCCCATCTGAGATCAGCTGAGCCCAGCCAGCCTACGCAGCTGACCCAGACTCATGAGCAACAATAAATGCTTACTGTTTTAAGCTACTGAGTTTCGCGGTTGTTACACAGCATTATTGTGGCTACAGCAGATCTCTAATACCAGTGCGATATCTAATACACGCGTTAGGCGTGAACATCTATGCTTTTGCAATCATGTTCAAGCGAGACAAGTACAAGTTCAAGTCCGTACCTGAGGCAGGATAGTTATGCGGAACGATATGCTGGAGTTCTCCTCTCTCAAGTAGATGGAAATTTTAGGAAAATAAGACCAAGGTGTCTCAGAATTAGTCCAGCAAGCCAGCTGGGACCCAGTCCAGAAGCCGTCAGAGAATTCTGGAATCTAGACAAAACAAGATCACAGCAAAAACAATGACCAGTCTGGCACGTCCGCACGAACAGCTCCCAGCTCTCCGCACGGCCTCGCCAGACGCCCACGGGGCTAAACGACGTTTCATTTGGACAGAGCTGCTGGGACATCAGTCCTCTGCCAAGAGTGATGGTGATTAACAAAATAATGATTTGTAAAATGGCTACCACCTGTCGACAACTTCCTAGTGTTAAGCACTGTTAGAAGGGTTTTACGTGCAATAATTCCTTTCATCCTCACAACACACTCATTGGGGCAGTCACATTTTCACCTCCGCTTCACAGATGAGGAATCCAAGGCACAGAGGGGTGAGGTAACTTGCCCAAGGTCACACAGTAGAGGGCAGTGGTGCTTGGAACAGAGAACACATCCTAAACGTGGCCCATACGGCCCTTTCAAGCGTGACCTTACCTCTGAATTCCACGAGCCCAGCGATTCCCTCCTGCACAGAGCACTGTGTGTGTGCCCCTCTGTCTGGAACAGACCTTTTGGAAGCAGATCGCCAGGCCTTTCTGCTGAGGCACCTCTGGATTCGAACCACCAACCTTCCGGTCAGCAGCCGGGACTCCAAAGCCACCAATACCACTAACACAAACCATTAATTTCTAAAATCCAATCTGCATAATCAAAGCCAACAGCCAGAACCCAACATTTTTACTCTTTTTCATTCTCTGAAGCCAGCCCCTCTCTTAGCTAGAAAGAAAACTCAAACCAAGACAGATCTCTCAGATCAACTGAGCAGATAAAAAGAACAAACACTTCCTTGGTCAGTGTTCTTTTTTGCCACATGTATTTAGATTTTACGAATTTGTATAATTCTTTTTTTTATTGTACTTCAGATGAAGGTTTACAAAACAAGTAGTCTCTCATTAAACAGTACACATACTGTTTTATGACATTGGTTAACAACCCCACGACATGTCAACACTCTCCCTTCTTGACCTTTCCTGTCCCCTCTTGCCTTCTAGTCCTTGTCCCTGGACTGCTGTGCCCCATTAGTCTCGTTCTGTTTTGTGGGGCTGTCTAATCTTCGGCTGAAGGGTGAACCTCAGGAGTGACTTCATTACTGAGCTAAAAGGGTGTCTGAGGGCCATACTCTTGGGGTTTCTCTAGTCTCTGTCAGGACAGTAAGTCTGGTCTTTTTTTTTTTTTTTTTTTGAGTTAGAATTTTGTTCTACATTTTTCTCCAGCTCTGTCTGGGACCCTCTCTTGTGATCCCGGTCAGAGAAGTCAGTGGTGGTAGCCGGGCACCATCTAGTTGTACTGGACTCTGTCTGGTAGAGGCCGTGGTAGTTGTGGTCCATTAGTCTTTTGAACTAATCTTTCCCCTGTATCTTGTTTTCTTCATGCTCCCTTGCTCCCAAAGGGATGAGACCAGTACAGTATCTTAGATGGCTGCTCACAGGCTTTTAAGACCCTAGACGCTACTCACCAAGGCAGAAAGTAGAATAACATAAACTGTGTTATGCCAGTTGAACTAGATGTTCCCCAAGACCATGGTCCCCACAGCCCTCCGCCCAGCAATTCAGTCCCTCGGGGAGTTTGGATGTGTCTATGGACTTTCTATGACCTTTCCTTGTACAAGTTGTGCTGACTTCCCCAGTAATGTATACTGTCTTGCCCTTCACCAAAGTTATTTCTTGGTTAGTTTTTAAATAGAGAGACAATATACTTGCTGAGCATTCCCTGCCCCAAAACAAAACAAATAACCTGCCCTGGTTTCTCCTTCCTGACACAGGCAGGGCTGAAATCAGAGGATAATTTTAGACAAGGCAAACAAATTTCATCATCTCCTTCTTTCTACCTCGTGGCTTTCTTACAAAGTAATAGTGACTGATGAAGCACATGCTTCCATGAACTCAGGAGCGTGAACGACTGTCAGCCCCCCAGCCCTGCTTTCTCAGGGCTCTGGAAGATGCTGGATTCACTGAGTGAAGCAGAGGCCCGCGGTGTGACCGCCAGCTAGTCCCATGCACATCTCTGGGACAGTAGTAGAAAATTTATAATCACTTAGAAAGGTACATCTGAAGATGCTCATGTTAATTCGGCAGAAGATATTTTTACTCTTTAAGAAATCAGCGCATTGCTCCTTATTTTAAGCTCGGCCTGATTTTCAGCAAGCATTCTAAATCTGTTGCTGTGTGCCGGCAAGTTGATTCCGACTCAGAGAGACCCTGTGGTCGAACCCACCAGCCACTCCAGGAGAAAGACCTGAAGACCTGCTCCCGTAAAGATTATAATCTAGGAAACCCTATGGGGCAGTTCTACTCTCTGCTGAAGGGTTACTATGATTCTAAATCTAAGGCGCTAAAATAAATTTCCCTTCCCGTGTTTTCAGATTCAGCAGATACTAGAAAAGACGGGCGTGAGCAGCCATCTAAGACACTCCACTGGTCTCACCTCTTTGGGAGCAAGGGAGAATGAAGAAAACAAGACACAAGGAACAGATTAGTCCAAAGGACTAATGGATCACAACTACCAAGGCCTCCACCAGACTGAGTCCAGTACAGCTAGATGGTGTCCGTCTACCACCACTGACTGCTCTGACAGGGATCACAATGGACAGAGTTGGAGAAAAATGTAGAACAGAATTCTAACTCACAAAAAATGACCAGACTTACTGGCCTGACAGAGACTAGAGAAACCCCAAGAGTATGGCCCCCGGACACCCTTTTAGCTCAGTAATGAAGTCACTCCTGAGGTTCACCCTTCAGCCAAAGATTAGACAGCCCCATAAAACAAAACGAGACTAATGGGGCACAACAGTCCAGGGACAAGGACTAGAAGGCAGGAGGGGACAGGGAAGCTGGTAATAGGGAACCCCAGGTTAAGAAGGGACAGTGTTGACATGTCGTGGGGTTGTTAACCATTGTCATAAAACAGTATGTGTACTGACTGTTTAATGAGAAACTATTTGTTCTGCAAACCTTCATCTAAACTACAGTTAAAAAAAAAAAAAAAGATGGGGGCTTTGCTCTGGTTTCTGATCGGCAGCTGCTCTGGGCTGTTGCCTTGTAGACCTTCTAGTTCAACAAGGGCCTCCACGTCCTTTCTTTTCAATTTCCCTTCTGTGGTCTCTGGCTGACCTGCTGCTCTTCCCCCAGCAGTTTTACACTTTTAAAGTTTTGGTTCAGGACAGCCAAAAGCCCCTCTCTGGTTTCCTGTGTTTCTGGCATCCCTGCCACAGCCGGTAACAAGCAACTGCTGTGACGTTCCCATCAATCGTTCTTTGAACACAGCCATTCCCACAGAGCAGGGGGAAAATCAGCTCACGTTGTTAGCAGCCATGGAGTCAGCCCGACTCACGGCGGCCCCGTACGCAGTGAAATGAAACGCTGCCCCGTTGTGATCCATAGTGTTTTTATTGGCTGATTTTTGGAAGTAGATCACCAGGCCTTTCTTCCTAGTCTGTTTTAGTCTGGAAGCTCTGCTGAAACCTGTTCAACATCATAGCAACACGCAAGTCTCCCTGGACAGACGGGCGGTGGCTGTACATGACGTGCATTGGCGGAAACTGAACAGAGTCTCCCACATGGAAGGTAAGGGTTCTACCACTGAACTACCGCTGCCCCCTCAGCCCATGTTACCCATCACAGTGGAGTGGATTCCAACTCATAGAGACCCTATAGGACAGAGCAGACCTGCCCCATAGGGTTTCCAAGGCTATAAACCTTTACGGAAGCAAACTGCCACATCTTTCTCCCGCAGAGCAGCTGGTGCGTTCCAACGGCTGACCTTTCAGTTAGCAGCCGTGCGCTTTAACCACTGTGCCACCACTGCTCCTTTCAGCCCATGTTAGTATCAGATAAAGGCTTTGTGCAGGAAACACTCATTTTGGGTGCTCTTGCAAGGTTGGCCCTAAACAGACACGTGCTCATGAAAATACTCAAGAAGTCGAAAGTAACAACTGTCCCCCCTCCAACTAAGTTATAACGGCACCATGGCTTGGGAATTAAATAGAGCTTCTCTCTGCTGAGTGTCTGCTCTATGCTGGGGATTTTACCAAACCCTCATGAAACCCTGCAGATGAGAAAACAGAGGCTCTCGGGGGCACAGAGCCCCTCTCCAGGAGCCCAGCTAACAAATGTCCGAAACTAGAGAAAATGTGATCCCATCTGAACCTCAACGCTGTGTTCTTTCCAATGTTTCTGGTCCACTCTGCTGCCCTGAGCTGAACAGACAGCTACAGTCACTCTGGGAACACCATCAGCCGGGGCCCTAAAGGCATGCTGTCCTCCACCAGGATTAACTCGTATTTCAAAACATGGCCATAAAATAATGATTAGGTTGGCTGTTTGACCTTTACCTTCTGAGGGAAAATCACATTCTTTTATAGAAATAAGAATTCTGACTTTAGCACAGCCTGGATGAAGACCAAAAAGGAGTAAGATTTTTGGTTTGTTTTCTTTTAAAGACTATAAACTTACCTCTGAATTGCTATTTCCATTGCTGTTATTGTTGTTGTTAGATGCCGTCGAGTCGATTCTGACTCATAATGACCCTGTGTAACAGGGTAGAACTGCCCCATATTGCTCTTTAGATTGTAATATTTACCAGAGCAGATCACCAGGTCTTTTTTTCCGTGGAGTCACTGGGTGGGTTCAAACCGCCAATCTTTCGGTTAACTTAACCACTGCACCACCTGGGCTCCTTTACTATTTACCTTAATATAGTGATATTTCAGGAAAAAAAAAGTTGCCCTCAAGTCAACTCCAACCCATAGTGACCCCACTTGTGTCCGAGTAGAACTGTGCTCCATCAGTTTTTCAGTGGCTGATTTTTCAGAAGTACTGTATTTTTACACAGATAATGTACACCTTCTACATTTATTTGCCAACTGCGCCCTCCACCTGTGAGGTATTTTCTTAAGTGTACTACGCTAATTTTTTTTACAGCAACATCTAAAAAATATCGGCACAGTGGTGTTTATGAAAATAAGAGAAGACGGCACAGTTGGCAAACAAACATAGAAGCATGCATTATGTGAGTAAAAATAAGGCAGATCGCCAGGTCTTTCTTCTGAGGTGTCTCTGGGTGGACTTGAACCTCCAACCTTTTGGTTAGCAGCTGAACACATGAACTGTTTGTACCACCCAGGGACATACTTATATTACCAAGTGTTTTTTCTTAGACTAAAAAAATAGTATGCCAACTAACTGTTATTTGAAATACCAAAAAGCATTACACATTCAAGTCTAAATCCTTTGAAGTTCAAATGAAGGGATTGTTTGCTGATGAACATCAAAGAACAAGATCTTAGCCTTAACAAATAATAGTTTTAAAAAAAAATACAAGAACCCTCAGACGGAGACTTTCAGACACGTGGGACCACTCCCCCACGTGTGCAGTGGCGGTGACTAGGTGTTCTCAAAGACTCATCGGCATCACGAGGACTCACCAGAGACGCGTGGGCCACAGCTTCCACCACTGCATCAAACACCTTCTGGGGCAGCCGCAGGAGGGTCGTTCCACTGTCCACAATGGCCTTGTCCGCGTTATACTAGGAACGGATGAGAGGGGCGGGGAGAAGGCACGTGAGCAACAATGGCGCTCCACCCCAACGTGAGCTTCCGCCGTCCGCCATCCCTGCGGAGCTGTTACACAAATCAAGGCAGCGATGGCCCTGCATCGGTGGCTGCGTTTCGTTTCGTGTTTTTGGCACGTGCGGGCCAGAGATCTCCTAGCCCAGCACTCTCATTTCACAGATAAGGACACAGAGGCCCGGAAGGGGAAGTGACATGACTAAACGAACGGCCCTCCCAACATAGAGCTTTTCCTCTGCTCTGAGCTGCCCAAATTTCCCTCATCAGGGAACCCCCGGGGAAGAAAGGGTCCTTCTGGGTCGAGATAACACATTACATAGCATTTACATTAATTGTATAAAATCAACTCTT